CATTCTCACTCACAACCTTTAGAAATGTCATGTCAGACAGCTGTGTTTTAAGGCCGCCTGCACACCATCAGGCTACTGCCTCAATTTGTGTCAAGTTTTATTTGATTACGTTTCAACAGTGGCGTATATATAGTGGGAGTCCAGAGGTGGACATCGAAGTGGAATGGGGGAAGATGCCACAGAGAGCCTCAAATGGGGGCATACAACGGTAGTGCAAACTATTCATTTATACTTTCTTGTTTTTTGTTCCACTTTCTATCTTTAGTCCTATCCCCTTTACGCTGTCCTTCTTTGCAATGATACTTATCTACACATTCACTTCTTTCTCTATCACCCACTCCCCACTCCCCCTATCTCTCTCTCTCTCTCTCTCTCTCTCTCTCCCTCTCTCCCTTTCCCTCCATCTGTCTATCACACACGTTTGACACGCAACGGCAAGTCTCTTTTTTCGCCATTTACTTTTTTTTTTGGGGGGGGAGGGGGGGGGGGGGTTAAGTCCCTCCCGTGCCCACCACAGCTACACCACCAATGGTCATTAATTTTCTCCATTTCAAAAGATAAACCCATTTAGGTTGTCAAATGTCAATATCTTCGCCTTATGTGCACAAACACCTATTAAAGTGCTGATGCATCCAACGCCAATTCATTTTTTTCTTCAATTAGTGAATTCAAATAGGAGCTCGTGTCTATAATTACATTCAGCATGCACCTGAGCAAACGATCATTAGAGTGAATGACAGATGAAACATAATAATTAACATATACTTATGAACTAGTAAGATTTTGCTTCATCTCTTTCTTTCTCTCTCTATATAATTATGTACAGTGCGTCCCAGGAAAAAATGAAACCGAGAATTATCGATGTTTTATCATAACTTAATCACAATTATAATTAATAAATGACACATATTTATAAAGCTTAGATCCTCCTCTTTCAGTTGATGCAACTCATAATTATGATGCATATTTCACGTTTTTAGGGCGGTATCTGAATTTCAAAGAGAAAATCACATTTCTAGAAAGTTCACTTTCTGCCCTTTCATATGACACCTCAATGAGGAAAAATGAGCCAGGAATAACAAAGTTCTGTTTGTTTAAAGAAATGCTTGCGTTTCCATAATTTGATTAAACGAATTCGTTTTCACTGGCTGCCTGCCTTAGCAACAAACGGAGTTTACAAAAAGACACTTCGTTTCGATGACAATCAGCCATGCACAAAGAAGACACAAAGACTGTATTAAAGTGACTGTATTGGTCATAACAGACCATTTTAAACAATTCCCCCTCTTTTTTCATCAAAGTATTTGGAACATATTGTACAAAATATAAGAAAAATGATAATCAACTGATACAGAGTTTTCGTGAACATACTGAAAAATAAGTTTCCAATATCCCTTATACAAAAGGATGTTTATTGATTACAAGCAGGTATGAGAAGGGGAGGGAGTTAAACAGCTATGCTTTTGGGAGATAGAGATAGATGTCGTCGTCGTTGCTGTTGATGTTGTTGTTGTTGGTGGACGGTGTTGATGTTGTTGTTGGTGGTGGTGGAGGGTGTTGATGTTGAGGTTGTTGTCGGAGGGTGTTGATGTTGCTGTTGGTGTTGGTGGACGGTGTTGATGTTGTTGTTGTTGGTGGTGGTGGACGGTGTTGATGTTGTTGTTGGTGGTGGTGGACGGTGTTGATGTTGTTGTTGTTGGTGTTGGTGGACGGTGTTGATGTTGTTGTTGGTGGTGGTGGAGGGTGTTGATGTTGAGGTTGTTGTCGGAGGGTGTTGATGTTGCTGTTGGTGTTGGTGGACGGTGTTGATGTTGTTGTTGTTGGTGGTGGTGGACGGTGTTGATGTTGTTGTTGGTGGTGGTGGACGGTGTTGATGTTGAGGTTGTTGTTGGAGGTTGTTGATGTTGCTGTTGTTGTTGGTGGACGGTGTTGATGTTGAGGTTGTTGTTAGAGGGTGGTGATGTTGTTGTTGTTGGTGGTGGACGGTGTTGATGTTGCTGTTGTTGGTGGACGGTGTTGGTGTTGGTGTTGTTGTTGGACGGTGGACGGTGTTGAAGTTGCTGTCGTTGTTGGTGGACAGTGTTGATGTTATTGCTGTAGGTGATGATTTTTCCAGTAGTAAGCTTCGGATGTGTTCAATTTAACGCGATCCAAATGATTGTCTTACATTCCAATCACCGAGAAACTGATTGAACCGTAAAATTGATTTGATATGTAGATTGGATGAACTGAAGAATAATTCAAAGAGTTTCTAATTCTATCCGTGAGATATTCATAATTGGATTAGTTATAACATTTAATAACCCCCTCCCCGCCCCCTCGAAAAAAGGTAATTTCTTTGTAAAGCAGGCCGGAGTGGGTACATCCACAATTGTCAAACTATTGAAATCAATTTCTTATTCACGTACCCTGATAAGTTTTCAATATCAGCCAATCTGTGTGACAGTTTTTGCTGGAACTGCAAAATAGCAGAGAGAGAGAGCGCGCCCTCTCAAGATTCGTCTCGAAAAGTCCTGTTAAATTTCATCCCTGGTAAAAAAAAAAACTTAAATTAAACAAGCGCCACAGCTGTTTTATTTTAAAGCTTATCTGCCGTAGTTTACAGGAGGGATTAGACCGCTCTGCAAGGTCACTGGACAGGTGGTTATCTCATCAACTCAGCTCTCAGTTAACATAAGAAAAAGAGGATCATGGGGGACCAATGGTCACCGATTAGGCATTGTTTGTTATATAGAGGGCACAAGTAGCTACCAGTAGTGCAGTGGGCCTTTAAGATTGGTATGTAACTTTGAGTCAATTCATTAAACTCTAAGCTCTAAAAGTTTGATATCACGGACAAATACAAACAATTATGAATGTTTTATCATGCGAGGTAAATGGGTAGCCTACCTGGCAGGAATCAGTTCTTTAACATGCTAGAGCGTCATAACGGCAGTCATGCTACAGCCTGGGTAATTATTTAGGTGCGCCAGGAGTGTCAAGTTTGACAGACATGGGTGCTGTACAAAAACCCACTATCATTTGTTTAAATATTATTAACATGTCGAAATGCATGTAGTTTCACATTATAATAATTCGTCGCTGTTTTCACGAAGTGACGGTAGTGAAAAAAAATTGCATTCACTTTGCGTTACGAATTTCCTCACTACCGTCACTTCGTGAAAACAAGGACGAATTATTAGATCATCTACTTCTAAATCTTCGTGATTTTGTTTTCATTTCATAAGAAAAAGAAGCGCAAAAGGTTTGCTAGACTGAAGAACGTATGTGTTTATATTCAGTTCGAATGGAAATTGAGAGCCATTGACCCCAAAGGTCTTTCCGAATTCTAAATCGAATTCTGGTAGTAAGACGAGAACATTAGGGCTTACAAATCTAGATGCATTATATTTATTGTTCTTAACATTTGTATATTGGTCGACTCAATCTACCAACTCACTTTATATAATTAGTTATGACTATCCCTTCTGGTCTGTGTTTGTTAATTTGTCCATATTTGATCATTATTTTCCCTTGCTCCATTCCATCGTGTTCTATTACAAATTAAACCATTACTAAAGAAACACTGACGCATGTGAATTAAAATAACGCCCCTTTGTTTTCCACAAGTTGATCAGTCAAGTAGACAGCTCAATCTACGGATTCAAGTTTCATTTTTGGGTAAAATATGTCCCAGTGACAATGGATGATTGGATTGTGATATTTGATAAGACGATACGGGTAGGGTGAGCTGAAATGAAGCCAAAGTGTGGCTGGTATGTGATTGATAGTGCCTGACACCTTCAGAGCAATTCACGTTTTATACAAATCTTACTGGTATAGGAGTGAAACTGATAAACATAGAAATAGAAATGCAGGGGCTATAGCGTTACACAATAAATTATAAGGGGCAACAATTCACTGACGAGTTTGATGTATTGGATGAATTGGATGTACGCCCCCTATCCAAAATAAATCAAATAGTTTAAAATGAGGAAATAAAATAGAAAAAAGAGTGAACACAAGAGAAAGGAGATGAAAACAGTGATTTTTTTTTGGATTTTTTTTTAATCCTTGCTGTTTTATAGCTCTCAATTTCCACGTTATACTTCTTCTTTTTATTTTTTCATTTTCTCTAGCTTTCCTCTTTCCCCATATTTATCCTATATAGGAAAATGTTAGTTTGACATGCAAGAATAAATGACTGTGGACGACTGTAAGTTGTCATGTTGTTTTAAGAGTAAGCGAAACTACCCGCGTGTGTTGATTTAATGTCGTCAATATACACAATCATGACAATGACACGTTTATACAATAACGACGCATATCGCTGCATTTGGAAACCATTTTTTTTGTAAATGACGATGTCTGAAAACAAATTTTATCAACATTGTCAGGTTTATTTTCGACATACTGAAGGAGGCACTATGCATTCATCATTCGCAAAATAGGTGACCTGTTTTGAAGATTCTGATGATTAAAAGACACACAAATCACATCTGATCATATACAAAAAATAGGTATGATTTCACATTGCAATTTCCAGACTCAAAAGAAAGTAATAAAGCAATTAAAATAGGATCGGCAAACGAGAAAGCGAGAGACAAAGAGAGAAAGAAATATTTACGGAGAGAGCGAGGAAAGAGAGAGAGAGAGAGAGAGATAGACATGGAGAGAAAGAAAGGGAATATAGAGCTATAGAGAGAGGGGGGCGAGAGAGAAAACAGACACAGCGATCAGAGAGAGCCAGAGAGAGGGAGAGAGAGAAGGAAACAGAAAGAGAGAGAGAGAATAAGAGAGAGACAGAGAGAGAGAGGGAAAGAGAGAGAGAGAGAGAGAGAGGGGGAGAGAGAGAGCCGTATACTTGATGAGAAGCAGTTAAATGCACATACACCACAGCGCATTTTCTGTAAAGCGATTCTTGCAAGGCCGCCACGAAATGTATGCACGCATACTTACGTACGTCACGCCACCACCAAACGCATTATAACCGAGAGCAAACCTTCCAGTTGGTCATTTCTCAAGTTGTGCCTACATAGATCAAGAGCACAGCACATTGCCGCTCTGTTTAACTTGACACGTCGTCTGTTCATAAAGAGAGCAGAAAGGAACTCGATCTACTTGTGTTCCTCCATATTTAGTGCACTTGGGGATTGGTTATCAGTGTGTTTTAGTGATAAATCTGCAATAATTTCACCGTCATGTCGTCAGATATAGAGCCTTTTCCAGCGGTGCTTGAGCTGAACGTCGGAGGCCAAGCTTACACCACGGCTTTATCAACTCTAACTAAGGACAGAGATTCTCTGCTAGCTGAAATATTTACCGGCAGATCCGAGTCAGATCTAGCACACAGAGATTCGAGGGGCAGGTACTTCATCGATAGGGATGGCCAGTTGTTCAGATACATTCTGGATTACCTACGGACTCATAAGCTCCTTTTACCCGAAGACTTCTCAGAGACATCTCGCCTGTACGAGGAGGCGAGGTTTTATCGGCTTGCCGGGCTCATGAGCCTGCTCGGATCGTCACCAAGTCCACATACAAATGCCGCATCGAATTCAATATCGAGCAACGGCACTCCTGGGAAGGCTGCAGGGTTCCTGACCATCGGCTACCGGGGTACGTTCGCCTTCGGACGTGACGGTCTGGCAGATGTCAAATTCAGGAAGGTTTCTAGGATCCTGGTGAGCGGAAAGGTTTCGTTGGCACGGGAAGTCTTCGGGGACACTCTGAATGAAAGCCGGGACCCCGATCGCGGACAGAGCAGTCGTTACAGCGCACGGTTCTACCTGAAACATATCTACTTAGAGCAAGCATTCGACATACTAGCCGGGTCTGGTTTCAAGTTTGTCAGCTGCTGCGCATCAGGAACGAGCTCCCAGGTCGGTCCGACGGAGACCGAGGAAAGTAAATGGCATCATTACAATGAATTTGTGTTCCAACGACCGTAAGTTTGGACATGACTTGACACTCTTCGATCAATTTCACCATGTACATTGATGATTGTGTGATATTTGAACATGTCCAGCGCTCTTTTAGAAAGGAATTACTTATTTGTTTCTCTCTCTATATGCTATAGTTTCAACGTATAACGTGGAAGATGAGACCGTAGCAGCTTCTCGTCATTAATGTCTTAAACTCAAGGGAAATAACGAATGTTACCGTGAACACTAATGTACATTATGCGTTTAATACAGTCAATGTTCGTTCACTTATTTTAGAAAGAATTAAGAGTACAAAGGTCTGTAATAGATGCCTTTGTCAAAGCGTAAAAGGATCTCTTTAAGTTTTTCAAGTAGTAAAGTATAAAACAAGAGCATACCGTGGAGAGCATCTTTTCATCCTCTGCATATTCTCTGTATTAATGTGGAATATTTGAATGTGACCGTAATTTGCCCGAGGTTCCCTTAATAAAGCGTTGGAAAATACTGTACTGCACTTTAAAACCGAGGATGTAGACGAATAAACCCGTGATCATAAAATTGGTGTGTATCGTGCATAACGACATAGGCTCAACTGGAAAATTACGACGATATCCTTCGTATGGATTCTTTTGTTTTCCAAATTATCTGTTGGATTATGAACTGTAACTGCACCTGCAAAATTAGTATATACGACTACCATATAATCCAGCATTGTAAAAAGCGAATATTGTAATTATTTACACATAAAATCGCCAATCCTCTCAATCCGGCAATGATTTGGCTGTGGGAAAAAAAGATGGAATCTTCTTAGTATGATAGCGGTTGCCTGATATGGGTCGCTTAATTGCAAACACATTCAGAGTGTTTGTGTTACCATTCCACATTTTCCGAATGGTGAGTGCCATCATCGAAATAAAGAACTCTCAGAAATGTTATTGCCATGCTATCGCAGCCTGCTGAAAGACTTCATGAAGAGAGCATCATCAACTCGTACTGATTATAGCAACAAATCCCTTCATTAAAAATTCTGTTCTGAGCTTAAAGACCGTCATTACTATTGGGCCAGAAGGGATTAGACCACAGAGCGAGGTCACTGACAGGTGGCTATCTCATTAACTCAGCTCTCAACTAACATAAGAAAAAGAGGATCATGTTAACAGGCATCGATTGGGGAAGTTTTCTATACAGAGGGAGCAAGTAGCTACAAGTAGGACAGTGGGGCTTTAATATATCTGCACAGAGCGAGCTATGCCGGCATAAATATGGAAATAGAAACTGTATCGGTCGACATGATTTTCCGCATTGGTGATCGTAATACAAGGCTATAAATGGATCTAAGTTTGCCGTATCATGTATCTATACTATATATGGCGTAGCCAGCTTGTGGTTTACATTCCGAAGGGGCATCGCAAGCGATTTTGCACCCAAGACCATGCAAGCTGGTGACTGAAAAGGAATAGGAGGCTTCCGTTTCCTGCCAGAATGTTAATCGTACCATCGAAATGTGACTGGTCGACCACACAGATAAAATCTTAATATATTAATAGGGTCAGTCGCCCCTCGCGCCCCCACCCCATTCTGCCGCAGTGTATTACGCGGTTGGTATCACCGTTTGCTTTAACCTGAGAGTGTATGTTATATTGTGAGGAGCCAATAAAGCTATTAAATATGAACGCTGCTGCTTAACGAGATTCATCCCCCAACCCATTATGCTGGAATCATGTTGATGCAATGCCGATGAATCCATAATGACTTCGTGATTCTGTTTTCCTTCTCAACCGTATGCCAACAATCCCTCATTCCACCGCCGCATCTCAGCACCAGTCGAGGAGTGGCTTATTATCATGATACTGTTTATCTTTGATTGATGAATTAATGGAATTTTGGTATCACTCATCGGTATCGCCGTCATTGCACGATGCAACATTTAAAGCACCGCACTGATGACATCGATAACGCACCTGGGAATCAGCTTACAGGTCTATTTTATTGAAGGAGGAATAAAATGAATATCAACAATACCCTACATGCCAACCATGATACGACAATCGCTGATGCGCTCCGCACTCGAGTATAAATTAATTTAAATCAATACTCTTGTTTATGTACCTCGACAGATTGTGTTGCCACTTTGTCTCGTCCATTCTGTTTGCATCTCGTAATTAATACAACTGTTTGATTGAAATATAACCTGGTCGTTAATGCGATAACGTTCCAATTGGTTTAGCAACTGATAATCATTAACATGTATACGAATGAGAAATCATGTTGTAGAACGCATTGTTGTTGTATTTGGGAGGGGGTGGGGAGGGGGGATTCAATACCGAATATTTAGTTTAATACGTAAATATACATTCTAATCGCATCCACGTTAACGTCCTTCTCGTTTACCTTGAGATACAAGCTAGCACTGTGGGAAATATATATTTATCTTCTTCTTTCAGCTCTTTTTGTAAAACCTAGATCATAGGAAAGACATCATCTTTTAAGTAGCTATACTAACTGCTCAAGACCTAGAACGACTTGACAATAAATCATCTTGAACAGGAAACGACTTTCTCTCAGAAATCCCATCTCTTTCATGCAAAATCAGATTAGTTAGAGTCGAGTTGTAAGAGAGACGCGAGGTATGTGTACAAGACACCTTATCCTTCAAAACAGACATTAGTCTTGTATTGGTTTCACTTAAAGATACATGTACATTTCATGAGAACGTTACAACTATCACTGTAATATAGATCTGGTTAGATATTTCTCCGGAGTCAATTGTAATAGAAACTAAATCTAATATCATTCTTATATGTGTAATTCGTCAATTTGGAATGACTCAAATACATTCTCTTGAATATTACGTAAATCTCATCAGAATACTTGTATGGAGTCAGTTGTAAGAGAAACCAAAATATGTCATAAACTCTACAAAATACATTTTACTTTACATGTAATTTGTTTAGTGATATATGTGAATCCCTTGAAAATGCATTTTATCGAGCACAAAACGATTTTGTCTTTAAAGCCCCACTGCACTTGTTTGGACAGAAGACCTCCCTGCATGGTCACTGACAGGTGGTTATCTCATCAAATCAGCTCTCAATTAACATAAGAAAAAGGGATCATGGGGGACCGATGGTCACCGATTAGGCATTTTTTACTACATAGAGGGCGCAAGTAGCTATAAGTAGTGCAGTGGGACTTTAATATAAATCCAATCTGATATTTTTCTGAAGTCAGCTGTAATGGAGACAAAGTTCATTGCGTACGCTTTCTCCTCAAAGCTGTTCAAATACACCAATTGTACCACACTGTCTCTTGGTTCCCGCTAGCTTGTTTGCACGACATTTTGGGATTATATGCGACATATGTTACCAAGTCTGCAACCTTCGTCGCTTGAGAAATTGAAAGGTCATTCTATAACTCGGTAACGGAGGCCCTATGCTGATCAGAATCTGATATAGAGACAATCTCCTTCATAGATCAAAAGAAAAAACACCACGTCACGGATTTCATACAATACTTTCCCAAATTTGCTCTTTATTTGCATACCATTTTCGTATTCATATCATAAGTAATGGAAGGGAATGTATAGGTCCCCAAAGTCACTGACGTTTCTTTGTTGAGACATTTCTAGTTTTGTATACATGCATGACGTGTATCCCTAATAATGTTACCTGCCTGCATACGCGAACGAAAGAAAAAAAATCATATCACCGCTTTGTCATTTAACATGTACCTATTTGAGGAGGATGGTAAGAAGAAACTATACAGTCATCATGGTTATTATCTCTTTCATGATGTCACGATGCTCATATTATATCAGATAGTTTTGATATGGGCAGAGTGAGTATCTATATTGATAGTGTTCGAGACACTAAAAGCCAGTTCGTGATGTTGTAGCTGTTACAAATGTAAGAGAAAAGGTCATCATAATCGAAGGTGAAGCACATGGGTGTGGATCACAAGTCTTGTGCACAAAAACCCAAACCCCATGACCCTTATTTTGCATGTTTAGGTACTCTCAAATTAACAAAGAACTTACCTAGATTTGGAGGGGATATCCTTCCAAGATCCTCCACGCCCCCCACATATCCACTTGTGGCAGAATGCCCCCACCCCTTGTCACACGGGGGAGGGGCACTTCCCCATGTTCAACGCTACACCATTTGCCATACAACTTGACAACATATAATTATGTTAAATTTCAAGTAAAGTATTGATAACTCTCTAAAATTATAATTTCTATCTCTCGTTTTGAGCCATAGTAATTTGTTGGGATATATAAGACGTAGTAACTTCAACGTGAAGTTGATGGCAACAGCATGATACGCAATGGTCCGAGCGGCTGTCAAATTTGTTTCTTATAAAGTGCATTGAAAAATATCTATGAGATTTTTAATTGGTTTATTTGAGGTTATCGCCATATGTATGTTTTAACCTTAATGTCCCTAATTTTGTTGATATTATTAAGTAAATGACGTAATGAAAGATGTCTCTATCCAAAAGAAGAATCCGGGTTACATTGCATTTCCTTATTATTGCAAAGATTGCCGGTAGTGAAGGCAGTACTGGTTTACCATGAACTCGACGAGGAAATAAGGTTAGAAAGTGTGTTGTGTCTTTCGATCAAGTTTAGTGTAAAAAAAAAGATATCCATGTCACCCTTTAATGAGTTTATCACAGATTAAGGAATTATTTTACAGGAAATTAAAAGGTTGTCACTTTCATTTTCGTTTTAATTGTAATCCGACTACTCCAGAGAAATAGATGCTCGGAAATGTAAAAGTTGGAAGCACAATTTATGATTGATCAATATTGTGATGAGTAATCTGTTTTTAAAACTCGAGTTGGAATTCGGAAAATGTGATCACTTATTATCTTGTGCTTTCATAAGCAATAAAGGAAAAGTAACCAAGTTAACATAGATTTTTTGTCCAATTATTATCTGCAGCAGTGAGCATTGGATTTTTCCTTCAGAGTTCAGAAGATATAAGGATTTCAAACCGACTACGCCCCGATTATTTCAGTCTTCATCTTTGATATTATTGTCAGTTTCCCTTGAGCGGTGAAATGAATATCGGCGATACATGAATTGCTTAACGATTTATAAGGGACTGTATTATCTTTAAACAATGAGGGATAGTTTAAATCCCGATGGAATTTTTTTGTATCGAAAAAGTGTCTCTTTCATTAGGTAATATGAGGGCAAGAATAAATAATTTTATTTAGTATGGGGGAGTTATTTATTTACTTAATTATCTATTCAGTCTTCTTTAAAAATAGAGGGTAGTCCATTCAGAACCGAAAGGTCTGCTTTTCAATGAAACCCAGTAGGCGAGTG